GTCAGAATAAATACGTATATCAAAATATTAAAGGTACTATTTTCGCTTTAAAACGAGAAACGATCAAGAGCGCTGCTTTAATGAAAGTTAAATCTTAATCCGGTCCGGTGTATTTCAGCAAGAGATGAAAGTTTAAATATAAATGATGTTATCGATATGAAATATATTATAAAAATATTCTATTTACTAATGTATAAATGAAAAAAAATTCTAAATATTGATTTAATATATGCAATGTTCATTTCAAGAAAAAATATACAATAAATAACAATAAACTCCAAAAATTAGTCAAATTTTATCCCAACAGCCGAATCATCTCTCACCCGAATAAAATCATCACAGTCCACAAAACAACAATACGGCTGAGTACTCATCGGATCAGAAAACAATGGTTTCAGCAACCGCTTACTCAGACATCGACACTCGACAAATGTGACAAGTCGGAGGTTTGTTAGTTGAGCAAGTGAATGTAATGTTGATGTCCATCGGAAATTGATTCGCGTGAACTCTATCTCTTGTAGTGTGTCTGCATTTGATTTTAGACCGTCGATTATTGTGTCAATGTGTCCGACGCATCCTTTTAATTTGAATCGGCATAGTCCTTTGGTTCGGAATAATGTTTTGTGAATTGTTGCGGTGTTTTTGTCATCACAATATGTGTTTGTATTTGTCAGATCAAGCTCTAAATATTTCTATAAACCATCGTCGTTTATTAATTATTCACCGCCTTAAGATAGACAAAAAATAAAAAATAAATAAATACCAAGTTACTGGATAAGTCAGCGAGCGATGGCTGACTACAATCCTCGATTCTTTCTTCACAAATCAGCCGACAATCCTGAATCGACGAAATCCATTCCTGCAATCCAGGCGCCACATAAAAAATCTTCAAAAACGGCTTCGACATACTGAAATTAAACGGCCCCGACACCCTTTCAAACGTCGCATTACGCTGATAAAACAAATTCATAATCGCCACCACGACATCCCACGCTCTGTCTGCTCGACACTTTAAATAACACCAACACAACACAATCTCAAAAAGCCCATCAACATCAAGCTCCTTTGCAAAATGCGGGTAATCGAAAGCAGGCACCGATTTATTGAAAGCAGATGCCGATTTATTCGACCAAAGCTGCTTAAACATCATCGAGATATTTTTCGTAAATGGGAAAATGTCGCGACGTTCTCGTTTCGGCATGAATGACAGATAGACGTCGATTATTTTCGTTTGTTTCTTTATCGAGTGACGTGCGTTAAATGGTTGACTCCATAATAATGGAATTCCTGCATTGCACCATTGATGATTAACTAGTATTATTGAGTGGAGATCTCGCGTTGAGAAAATGCCATTTTTCGGTATAAAGCTTTGAAAAATTTGCTCGTATATTTCGGTTGGAAGTTGTTTTGATGATGGTGGTGGTGGTGTCATGTTGATTGTGTATATGTATGCTATTATTTTTGTTCTTTGTTTCTTTATTCCTTATTTCTTTATTTCTTTATTTCTTTATAACTTTCTTTTATTCTACAAAAAAGTTTTTTTATTCATAGACCAAATAAAGAAATACGCAAGACGACACCCTCGCAATAATAACGATAACAGTATTATTAGTACAGTACATGTAAAACGATGATTGATACACATAATATTAACATTAAATAGAGCCATTTCTGCACTCGTAAATGGTCAATCATATTATCAATGAATGCTTTTGTATACAATTCTAATACGTACTGTACATGTTTGAGAAAAATCAAGTTGTACAACTAATAGGGTTAGGAAATCCCAAACATCAGAACTGGTTAGGGAACTTGTCGAAAAAGTACATGTACGTAGTAGTTTCTTTTGTTTAATATTATTCTTGTTGTCTATGATTTTTTCTTCTTAACATTGTCTATTGTTGTGATTCCGTGTCAGAATCCATAACGCTAAGCTATTATCGTTATCTATTAAAGATTTTTGGTGATGCTTTTATTATCGTTTTTTTTATACAAATATTTTGTATACGTTTGGCAAAAGATACTCGAACAACTAAAACAGCAGGGCAGAGTTTGAAATTTGTTGTGTTTATTACATGTATCGGTACATGTATATGGAATTCCCACATAACGATAGTTCGCATAGCACATCACAAATATGTAAACAATGTACATGTATCAGCATGCATGCATCTAATTATTATCACGATTCTCGTGGAATAGCAATAGTAACAGTCAATTTAATAACTTTGTCATAACGGCTTTACCCTTGCTTTCTATAATAAACTCGACACGATCTTTAATACAAAGATTTTCGATTTCATATCTGACTTGGTGGCGACGTGACGCGCGTTATCGTCGTAATGTGTTTGCAACTGTAGAAGATATTTTTAAAGATGCGGATAAATTTTCAGCGTGCTGGCTTTCTTCTTTTTTGTTAATTTAAGATTCGTCAATTAATTGACTATCATCTTTGTCTATTCGCGATTACGAATAATATTTTTTTGAAAAAAAATCAATGAATAAAGTCCTGGCGACAGCTTATCGATCTTACTCTATTCTCGAACTTCTTTTTCAATGACAGAGCGATAGGTTTGCCTGATTCCCTATTAAGCAATCGTTCAAAAGTGATTGAATATTTACGACGAGATAGAATAACAGCAACTTCTAAGAATCAAATTCACATGTAGAATTTTAATTAAAGCAT